AAAAAAAAAAAAAAGTAAAAGGAAGAAAAATAATAGAAACCCCTCTCCCCCCCCTCTCCCGCCCCTCCCCCCCCTGAAGAACAAAAAAGATGAAGTCGCGCAACATACCTAACATAACAGACCTAACCCCCGCAGCTAAAACCAGAATCTCCTCCTACTGTACCCAGCAGCGAAGCGAAGCCAACCAACCAACCAACCAACCAAACAACCAATCAGTCCTCTCCTCCTCCCACCCCCAAATCCCCCTAAACAAAGGCTACCACCACCAGCAGCAGCAGCGACCAGCAATCCCAACCAAGACGAAAACCCAGACGACCCCCCCCCCCCCCCACTCCTAGCAACACCAGCGGCAACAAACAAAACACGGAAAGAAAGAGCAGCAGCAGCAGTACCGGTAGTTAACAAGTCACGCCGTCCGTCGTCCCCATCGCGGTTGAAGCGGAATGTCACCGTTTAATTGGTATACATGCATACAGACATACAATACACACGTAGTAAGCTTCAGCAAGTGTAGGCAGCCAGGCGAGATAGAAGCTGGATACAGAATTCATTATCTGGGGGTGGGTATCTTCTGAAGGGGAAGGAGTTCCGTCCTGTCCCCTCTCCTTGTGGTGTAGGAAAAGAAAAAAAGATTACATGTGGTGTGGGTACAGATGCGTAAATGTACAACGGGGTACGGCTGTGTGTGTGATTCCCGCCCTTCGAAGAACAGAAATTCTCACACTCAAATACCCGTTCATTTCCCTTCTCATCCACCCCCTCATGCCATCATCCTGTTCCTGTGCGCTCATCTCCGAGTAAGGCCAGCCAGTACATACGTGTCGTGCCATTCAGGCAAGATGGAGTTCATTACGTCTTGTGGTAGCGTGGGGTATTATTTGCAACGTCGTGGGTAGCTAATCAGCTGGGAAATTTTCGATGTTGGGACGGTAGTGGATGGTGGGCGGAAGGTTTGAAAAGGGGCAGTAGATGCTGTTCTATGTAAATTTCGTATGGATAATGTCCGGATTCTCATGCCAGTCGTCGATGCTAACCCACATCTGCACACCTGATTAGCCATACTCCCCAATGCCGACTGCTGGCCAACTTAAACACACCTTTCTAAACGTGCTCAGCCCCGCCAAGATACTACCTCCGATCCAAGTCGAGTATTTCCTCTCGGGCGGCGCGAAGATCTTGATCCGCATATCCTTCACAGCTAATCGCTGCACCTCGTACAGTAACCTGTCTCCGAAACCCTTGGTTAATGTCGCGCCTCCCGAGAGCACGATGTTGCCGAAGAGGGACTTCCGCAAGTCGAGATCCGTGCGGTTGATGGCATCGACCACGATTTGGTGGATGCCAGGGTACTCGAGGCCAATGATTTCGGGGTCGAAGAGGATTTCGGGTGCGCGGAATCTCTCTTGCCCGACCTATATTTCCATTAGTCTGTCTGCCGAGCAAGGTGAAAGCGGTTTTGCCTGCCTTGATTTTGTTACCGTCTGGCAGGGCATACTCCACAATCTTCGGATCGCCGCCACCTCCAAGTTTCCCAGACGCCGATATCCACTCCTTCTCCTCCTTCCTCGGATCTGCGGCCACATAGCTAACTTTCTCCTTGATCATCCGTACAACCTCCTTCTCGGCCGAGGTATGGAACACGTAGCCGGATTTCCGTAATAGCAATTGCATGTATTCTGTAACATCTCGTCCCGCGACGTCTATCCTCCGTATCGAGCTTGGCATAGCGAATCCTTCGTAGACGGGGACTGCGTGCGATACGCCATCGCCCGCATCGAGCACTATGCCTGTGGTTCGGCCGGAGGCGTAGAGGGAGAGTACGGCTTGAATGGAGGTGTACAGCGCAGGAACGTTAAAGGTCTCGAAGAGTATCTGAGCAGCCGTGTCGCGATTACTGCGCGGATTGAGAGGCGGTTCTGTCAACAGAACTGGATGCTGTGATATCATCCACGGTTAGTCCAAAGAAACACTCCTCCCGTATTACAAATTCATAGCTCCCCCTCTCCCCAAACACCGGGCATTCAGGGAACCTACCTCCTCACTCAGCGTCTTCAGCCCCTCCCCATACACCCACTCCCAGATCTTCTCCATGTCGTCCCAGTCCGTCACAATGCCATGCTCCAGCGGGTACTTGATCCTCAGCAGCCCCCGCAACTCCTGCGCCCGCTGCCCAATAAACACGTCGCCTTCCAATGCGCCTGCCAGCACCCGTAGGTGCTTCGGTCTGCCGACGAAAGACGGGAAATAACATTTCGGTAAGTCGTCCCCGGCAAAGCCTGCGCGGATCGTACCGGAGCCGTTGTCCAGCACTATGGGGGCGTTGTGGAGGGTGTCGGTCATCTTGGGAACAGGGCCTACTGGCCTTTCAGGTGCTCAGGTGGGAGTTTCCGTAGGGGGAAGGGATGGGGGGGGGAAGGGAGGGGAGGTGTTTCTGAGGGCAAGTAGTTTGCAGTCTTTCGTTATCAGATCCAAGGCTGGGATTCGGGGTGGATTGAGTCCTTTTGGATATGGTGTTTATGGTGTTGGGTGGTTTGTCGACATCGTGTTTGAATGTTGAGGTTCGCGTCCCAATCTCAGAAACCGCGCCGGCAGACAAGGATAAGCTATTTGGCGAGAATGTCTTGGCGCTTGGTACTTCCGATTCGGCATCACGAGAGTTACAACGATTCTATCTTCACAACGAAGGCTTTTTGTTATCTGTAGGTGACCTTGTGATGTTCAACGAGTCAAACATAGCTGCTGGCATCGCTAATTCAATCCCGGGCGGCTACCTGGTCAAGAGGTCCCATTCCCGTCGTAGAACCCAATAGCTTGAAGCGTTGCAGCAAAAGACCATAACCATCTCACCAAAATCAAAATAACCTCATGCATACATTCCCTCTACAATTGGATTTATCCTAGAGAAAATCCCTCAACACTTCAACATCCATCCACGCAAGTACAAAAAGATGAAGAAAAAATGACATTCGATATATATCGATATGACTTTACCACTTTCCCAGGGAACCACGCAGGATTGTTTTTTATTTAAAAAAAAAATATTCCAAGCGTCGGTTCTCTCCCAAGCGTACTTCAGACGATGAGGACAATCTAACACCTCTCCAGACGAGAGGTGAAGTAACTCATTTCATTTTCCAGGGGATCAAGTATGAGGTCCCAAGGGAGAGTTTAAGGGATGTACGATGAAGACGAAGATGATGTGTATGACGTGTGGGTTGCGTCTAAAGATGGTGTTTCCAAATCTTATATTTCTTGGTTGGACTATTATGTGTGCTACGCCCTGCCCTGCCCTGCCCTGCTTCCCCTTTCCGCAGAATCCCCATCTAAAGCTACCCCCCCCCACCCCAAAAGGGACAGCTACAATCCGTGGCAAGAAGAAAGAAAACTGCCGGGTATATGTTCAGAAAAAAAATAAGAAAAGGGTTTTGGGGGTATATCCATCGCTATATGTCGCCGCTGACCAAAGGACGAGAGATATCGCAATCATGAAAAAATCACCAGGACGAAGATCTGGAGTCATGCCAGCCAGTCTGTCCTGAGGTCCCCAGCCTTATTTTCCGCTTTTTTTTTCCCGTTACCGTTTCCCTGCACTAAAACCCAAACCCGTAATCCGTGAACAATAATGGTAATGAACGCCGTGTGATACACAATGATGACGTGCCGCCTTTTGTGGCTCATGGTGTGCCGTTGAAGAGGGAAGATGTGTGATGTGCCACAGTCGTTTATGCGGGAATCAGCACCAGCCCCCTTGCAAATGCTGCCCACCGTCCATGATTTTTGTACTTTTTTTGTTGAAAACCGAGCGCCGCGAAAATGTCGAATCGAAATTGAACAGGGAACCACCATCAGCGCCCGAAAGCCGATCTAGCGACGCTCCGAATGGAGGCTCAGACGACCCAAGAACCCGCTGCGGATAGAGCCATTGCTGCCCATGGAGGACGCAGAGTCCTTGCGGGAAGACTGATGATGATCATGATGATGATGATGATGATGATCGGGACGGCTGGAGGTCCAGTTGCCCGCGCCTCCGCGACCGATGTGGTGGCTCTCGCCGGCCTTCGCCCGGTCATCGCGCGTCTGCTGGAGCACCAGTTCCTCGTCGAAGGAGAAGACGCAGCGCTCGGATGGCTTGTGGATGTTTCCCGCTCCGCCGCGGCCGCTGCTGAAGTTGGATTTGCTGGCCGGGAGGCCGTCTTCGAAGAGCGATGCTGGGCCGCGGGCAGAGGCACCCACGGAGGTCTTGGGCACCTTGACGGTGTTGCCCGCGCCACCGCGTCCCGTGTAGGTGTACTTGGAGACGTGTGGGTGTGGCTCGACGACTTGGAATGTGGATGGCATTGTTGATGTTGGTGTTGGTGTTGGTGGAGTTGGGTGGATGGCAAAGAGGGTTCCCTGAGTTCTGATCGCTGACAGCCAGGTGTGGAGGAGACAGTGGACTAGCTAGCTAGCTTCAGCTTTGATGATGGAGAGGCGGTGATGAAATGATGTGCGTAAAGCGGACAGCGTATCTAGTATAGAGGATGTAGTATAGAGGATGTAGTATGTAGTATGTATGATGTTGTAGTCAAGTCAGTCGTTGTCGAGATCAAGCGGCGCAGAGGCTCTTATACCCTCTGCCCTCCCTTGTGCCATACCGGCGGGTGATTGAGTCATTCTCGAGGAAAATTCCTTCACACCGTTCACACCTTTCACACCTCCCACCCGCCATGTCTGACAGGTCGAGCTCTGCAGCGAAGAATGGTCGTCGGGGCTCTCGGTTCCAGGGGGGCGGCTAAGCTGCAAACGGCGTATTGAGGGACGGCTTGGCGAGATCATGACACGAATAAAGCGCAAGCGAGGATCTCGTGATACAGTGGTTGGCTAATTTCGATTCCTATTACCCCCAGGAAACTCGACCACTGGCCCGATGGACCCCCGGCCAAGGAAGGTCCTCAGTCTCGTCTCGTCTGGTCTGGGGTGGCCACCATGCACTCACTCACTCACTCACTCACTCACTCTTCACCGCAGGCGAATATCGCCCGGGACATCGTGATCAGGGCGAGTGAGTGAGTGAGTGAGTGAGTGAGTGAGTGAGTGAGTGAGTGAGTGGCCATGGAATGGGATCGAATGGGCATCCATCATCTGACCTTGTCCAGGTCCAGGTGCGTTTTGGGTTTGTGCCTTCTCTCCCTGACTTCTGTACATGCGTATAGGAATAGATCTATTCTATATATATTCCGTATATATTCCATGTGTATTCCATGTATATCCCATATCTATTCCATCTCTATCTATTCCTCAGGAATATCCCTCTTCCATCCATTCGCTTACCGAGTCGAAGCCATGCAGACTGCAGGATCCTATTTTGGGAAGGCTCCCCTCATCCCCGGTACCTCCGTCCCCACCGTACCCGGCAACCCCAGGCAAAGAAAGCTTCGGTGCCAGTAAGTACCGGTACCGGTACGTAGTATAGCAGCAGTACCAGTACTGACTACGGTACTTACCAAACAAACAAGAGGGGGATTTGCAATGCGGGGGAACACCCTGGCAACGCTAACGAACCCAAACTTCTCCTGAGGCTTGGGCTGAGGCTGAGGCTGAGGCTGAGGCCGACGTCTTGGCCCTCATTTCCCCGCATTTCGCAAATCGCAAAATCACGAGGGGAAGGAGTGAAGCAGCGAATGCGAAATGACAAAGTCACGAGGCTGGCTGGGAGTGAAGCGGGATTCCTGGCCCCTGGTGTTGACGAATCAGAAGGCATTGCCGCTGCTCCTGAGGGAAATTGCGGTCATCCGGACAGAGAAAGAGAGGAGGGAGAGGAAGGAGAGGAAGGAGAGGAAGGTGGCGATCCAGTCCAGTGCTTAGATGGATACCGGTACCTGGGTCCGAATTGTGATGCGAGCAGCGACTCCTTTCCACTGCCTCTCGGCTCGGCCCCTTTTAGAGACGGATACGGTACCGTAGTTGGAGCATGGATGCGATCTCGTGGCCCATTGCAAGCAGCAAGAGTCCGCGTGACTTCTCTTCTAAATCAGTCTGCGGGTACCGACCTATCCCAGCTCAAAATGGAGGTAGGATTGAGATCTTCACGGAGTACATACATACAAGTAATACAGAATATATATCTCATACAGGTAAATACTAAATACCATACTAAACATCATACTAAATATCATTGTTGTTTAGCCGACCGCATCCTGTCCTATTGGCAACTAGCTGTAGAGTTGTGAACCATCTTCAAGTATCTCGTAAGATGCATACATAGCATAGTATACTCGTCGGACTCAGACAGGTCGCTGGCTAGCTGGCTAGCTACAATGAAAATAAACAGTGCATTTCCTTCTGCGAGACAAGGATCTGCTTGTCCTTCGACTCTCCTGTTTCTATGAACCTCGTCGCACTGCTAAGAATATATATTGTTACTTTGCTAATATAATTTTTTTAAAAAAAAACATTTATTTACTAGGAGGGATAGCTTCTGCTCAAGCTTGATTTGAAGATTTGAGGTAAGAATGATGTGAAAGTTCTGCACTGAGATCGGGTGGGTAGGTGGGTTTGCAGGACATTGCCGACGTCTTGTAGTGTTAGTACATCCATTCATTAGGTCAGGGTCGATCAAATCAAATCACATGAAATAAAATAAAATGTATGGCAACCGACCCCGCCGTCCAGCTCGCAAAGCAGAACACCCCGAACAAGCAAGCAGTCGACAAAATCGAACCTCCCATTTGCATACACACTTCTTCTCTATATACCCCAGGCAGGCTATCAGAGGAGTCGCCGCGGGTGCACCCGTCCGTCGTGCCATAGGTATCGCGCATATCTCAAGAGGCGGCCGGATCAAAAACGTCGCGGATCGCGTGACGCCCTCACGAAGAACCATCCCTCATGGAGCGGCCGAACATCCATCCAGTTAGTTGGTTTCTTCTGTTGGAATAGGAATCCTACAGTCGCTTACCGATCACGGGATCGTATGCCCGGGGCTCAGCCGAGCATACCAACTTTTCATGCGAATTTTGATCTTGTAGAACAGATAGATCATCGATCAATTCAATCATCAACGAGAAGACCATTTTCATCCGATTCATTGGTGTGTATACACACATACTTATCAATTACCTACCTGAGTGATTCCAACAGGTTCCTCTTTCCCATCTGATCTACCTTGCCCCGCGCGAGCAGCACTTCCCATTTTCAAGCCTTCTCCACTGAGAGAGAGGTCTCCCTCCAAACTCGACGGTAGACTGCGCCAAAGAAGAAAAAAAGAAAAAAAAAACTTACTTTATAGAGAAACGCGAGCACGGCTGACGTGGTTGAAAAGCGAAGCGGACTCTGTGAGGTTTCCTGCGACTTGTGGTTAGGCATATAAGACGAAGAGTTGCCGCCGCTCCACCTCGCAAACACGTTCATCGTCGCGGCACTTCTCATCACATTTTGGCTCCACTCAGCCGTGCGGAAGTCTCCAGAGACGTTCGAGCAGCTCTTGGATAGCTCTTGCTGCCTAGAGAGTGACAGAGCGGGAGGCAAAGCTGTGATCTGATGATGCGTATGTGAACAACTGCAGGAGAGAGAGAGGTAGGGAGCGCTCTCGGCAGGGTCACTACTGGACTTGACGATGAGCAGATGTCCAGGTCTGTTTTGAAAGAGCGACGAACGGCCTTCGAGAGTGCAAACGGAGATGTTGCGGATGTTGGGAGTGCATGAGAATCAGGTTCAAGATTTGGCATGATGCTTTGGTCAAGGGAGAGAGAGAGGGAGAGAGAGAGATATATACATATTGCTAGGTTGAGCATGTATGCATGTATGTTGGACTGCATACCGGGCTGCTTATTGAGCTGCATACCAGGTTTTGAATAATATAGGAGCTGTAGTCCAGAGACGAGGTTATCGTATCCCATCCCGAGATCGAACCTGGGGGTCCATCCATATTCCATATCCGAGAGTCGCCGTCCACGTCGTCCTGCTGTCCGTCTAAGCGGTATATCAATGATCGCACAACTGGGCATCCAATGGCCCTGCGCTCGATCCTCGACGGCGTGCTCAGAAACAAAGGCTTTTCACACACGTCTCTTTCTTTCCCGAGTACCTGTCCTGTGCGGTTGTTGTCATCCATCCGATGTCAACGGTAGGCAAGCAAGCACGAACGCCACGCCACTCCACTCCACTCTATGTCCTCAGCAAGTTTCGCAGATGGGCCAAATATATATATATATATATATATATATACATATATATTATATGCTTATCCGAGATACCCACCCCATGCAGACAGACAAATTTCAGCAAAAAAAAAAAAAAAAAAAGGAACACTTTCTGAATAAACCGCTTGATACTGGCCTTATCATCTTCGTATAACAGCACCGCACTGCATCAAACTGAGCCATTCTGGCCCGGGATTGCGGGTTTGCACGGCACGGCATCAACAGCATGTACCGCAGCCAGCCATGTTTCCATCGCAGCAGAGGAAACCCGTGACGAGAGGAGGGGGCGGTGATGCTACGGGCCGCATGGGAACTCATCCCTCCGTACGTCGCACAGCAGCGGTCTGAAAAGTCTCCATGCTGGGGAAGGGATCGGTTGGTCATCTGGCACGACTGACGACTGCTTGCTTCTCGCTGCGAAGCGTGCGAAGCATGCGAAGCGAAGCAGAGCTTACGAAGTAGAGCACGATGATCTGCGCTGGCATACTTAACGGCGTGCAGAAAACAATGATCATTTCTGGTGCTACCTACAATACAATCGCACCGAACATACCCCTTCTTGGCACTTACATGTACTTAGACCGTCATCGCAGGAAAAACACTACCCGGCCCGCTGAACGGAGGATGGCTAGATGCGACACGTGCAAAGAGGGATTCTAGTAGTACGTTGTAGTAGTTGTCGGCTGCTGCTGTACCCGTTACTTTCTCCAACAGGCGTCGTGGAACGACAAAAGTGCACTCGACACGCAGAACGGCCAGCGCAGACCAGACTCTCGAAGCGCGAGTAAACGAATGAAAAGCGGGAGCAAAAGAATCATGACGCCACGGTCGTTAGGAGGGAACCTACCATGCGAGAGGTTGGTGGCGGATAGGAGAGGAGAGGAACCGCTCAGAGAAGTCTCCGATGAGGCATGTCATGTCAGCGCTGAATTCCAGGGATCAGACGCAGATAGAGTAGAGAGATATGAGAGCCGTTCTATCGTGTGCTCTGCTGCCTGCTATGCCTCAGATGGCGTGCCCTCTCCAATTAGGCTTCTCGCCGGCTGTACTACACCCTTTTCCTGACGTGGCTGCGCTTTCGGTCTGCACGTGCGCGTGAACATGAATAAATACCAGACGTTACGCCTTTGGGACGATGAAGAAAGCAAGCAAGTCTCCACGGCAAGAGCACATCTCTGAGATCTTATCTACGGGCTCAACATCAGTAGAGGGAAGTGACGACGCGGGAAAGCTGCAAACTCGTCAAGTGAATCTCGGACCTGTGATTCGGAGCTGATGCTGCTGCTTGATTCATTGGCCCGTGCCAAAGCGTATACGGAGGTAGGCATATATCCCAAGTGTACAAAGCATGACTAGAGTAGCGATCGACTGTCTCCCGCAGAGATGTCATGGCAGAACAAGGCAACCACCGGGGGAGAAGGAAACCGAGGACGAGAACAGTTCCGATGATGAAGAAAAAGGCCCGGGTGGTTGCTCCTTCTTGCCAGGCCAGCCCCCCTATCCCCTATCCCCTATCGCCGGTCCCGCACCACCTACCTGTCTTCCATCGCTCT